AACTTTAAAAAAATCACTTCACTGCTTAAAATTGCCCAGCAACACCTGAATGGGCCAAGGATGACTGTATTATTACCCAAGTTAGTCCCCGCGAGTGGAGTGGTGTGTGCGGCTTCATGTGAGCTGGCGGCCGGTGCGGAGCCACGAGGCCACCGCTGATGTGGGTGGACAGGGGGACAGGGACAGCCGTCCTGCAGGATCACCCCAATATCCAGTGGCTTCCATCGGGTCCCTACCGAGAGCCGCCATCCCTGGACCAGCTGAGCTCATGGTGATGCTTTCCCAGGATACTTTCTGTCTTCTAGTAAAGTGGAGTTCAGGGGCTAAAGAGCAAGAAATCATGTTGTTCATGGTCCTAGTCCTTGATTTTTTTTTTTAATTTTAATTCTATGAATTTGTCCAGCGGCTCTTCAAGCAGTGCAAACTTCAGCATTCGTGGAGTTCCACAGTAACAAGTTCTCTAGGTAGAAGATGCCTTTTCTTGAGTTTGTTTGAATGGTGATACCTGACAATAATATTTGCTCCCTGTTTTTTTTCCCTCTTTAGGAAAGATGGCAAACAGTTGTTCTTATTAGTGATGTCTACCCAACTTTATAGATTTCCGTGCAATCCCTTGGTTTCTATCCTTTCTAGGTTTTTCTTGTTCCTGATGTGATGCTGTGCCCCTCTGGTCCTGCTTCTTGCCTTGTCCTGTAGTTCTTTCTGTAGCTTGGTGATAGGGATGGTGACCTGCATATGGTGTCCAGCATGCAGGTGCACCAAGCCCTAAAGGCCTAATGTTTTTTTTGATTGGTTTTCTGCTTGTTTCCAAGTAATCCTGCTGTTTTATTGTTCTTTTAATTGCATCTTAGCATGGAGCTAGTATTTTTAGAGCTATCTATAGACCTCAAATCTTGCTGCTGGACAATATTAAATAGGAGTGGGCTCTGACATGTCTTTTCTTGTGTGCAGTGTTTTACACTTCTCTCCACTGCCCTTACTCATTCAGTGTTGCAGTACTGTGAAGTTCTTTTTCAACTCTTTGTGGCCAGGCCTTGTCCTTCCCACCGTAGGAGTAGCATCATCATCAAACTTTGTTATTTTGCTTTTCAACCTCTTTTTTTCAGAACACTAAGTAAATGCTTTTATCACTACCTTGGTGACCATTTCTTTCCTGAATCTTTGCCAGATAAATATATTTGTGGTATTTTGATGTGTATTTGTCTTTTTTTTTTTGGAAACATAACTACTTAAGAATGCTATTGCTTATATAGTATCCAAATATTGGATATTGTGTAATGTGTTTGGGAAGTATTGAGTTCAGATAGCGAGTGGAGGCAAAAAAAAAAAAAAAAAAAGTACATCAAAGTTAAATATATCCGTGAACTTCAGCTTGTCTCATAGAAACATGGACTGGGATCCCTGTCCAACAAATTTGTAATTAGCATGTTTCTTCCATTTATTTTGATGTATACTTGTGTCAAGAAATATAAGTTAATGTTCTAAGGCATCAGAGCCTTAGAAAGAGGGTAGGCCCTAGAAACTTGGAGGAATGGTTGTTAATAAAAGCGAATTTTGTGGCAGGGAACTGTAGAAGCTTCTTCTTTACTCTCAGTTCCCTGGTCTTTGGTGTTTATTCCCATAAGCTTCATTAAATGCCAGCTGAGATATTTGAGATCTTTCTTTTCAGAGATTTTCATAAGTCATTCATGTAAGGAACTGAATCCTACTCTTAATTTAGTGGAAGTTGTGAAGTTCAATCAGAATAGGATTTGACGTTCAGGAGTTAAAAGGAAAGGTATCTGATTAGTCGTGTCATCCAAAAACCTGCATTTACATCTGTGTAAAGTGGCCATTTCTCAAGTTGATTAATGCATGTTTTTTAAATTGCTTAACTCTTGTTATTATTAAATGCAGTGTTTGACAAATGAGATGTGAAGCAATAATAGATCATTTTCTCAGTAGACTTTTTTTTTCCAGGAGAAGATGGTGCTTATAATGCTCTAGTTTGAAATTTTATACAGGTCCACAGACATAAAAACTGCTCATGCTAAAAACAGGAGATACTTCCATGCCTGTGACCTTAGAATGCACATACTTAATTAGAGTAGTTGTAAAGTTTTATAGGATCATCTTCGGGATTAGGACTAATATCAGTCATGTGTGTTTACATTAATTACGTGTTAATTACTAGTTTTTTAATGAAATGATGAGACATTTGCATGCTTTATGGGGAGGAAAAAGGTTTCTACTCGCATACAGTACTGTAATCAATGGAGATGCTTAGGTCAGCATTTTGTTGTTTGAGGGAGAAAGCTTTGCCCAAAAGATGCCTAGTTTGTGCATGATTGCTGTCCCTGAAGTAGGTCCATACATCTCAGTTATATGCCTTAAGCCCTGACATTAAAAGGCTCTGTTTTGTTTTCTTTCAGTGAACTGGAGCGTCTGAGCAATCTAGTTGGTAAACCGTCTGAGAACCATCCCCTCCACAACAGTGGACTGTTGAGCCTAGATCCTGTTCAAGACAAAACACCTCTTTACAGTCAGCTTCTTCAAGCCTACAAATGGTCAAATAAGGTAACAAGTATACCAATATTAAATAACTGGCTGCTTATAGACCTCCATAATTTAATTGGTATTCCTACAGAACATTTGATCTGTGCTACAGTAGACCTCTGAGTATTCGAGACTGTCCAAATTGCTAAATTTGTTATGAAGTTGGAGAGTATAATGTACATCTCAGTGCACTTCGAAGCATAAAAATGGTATTTTAATTGAGTGGAGAGATTAGAGCAGAATGAAGGTATTTTCTTGTTTCTTCTGAAGGAGTGTTACCTCCCAAGGGAAATTGTACTTTGTGCTAGCTGTTTAGCTCCTTGTCTTTCATAAATGTCAAACAGAAGTGTGTTTTTCCCTTGCATTGGACAGTAAATGTTGTAGCAGAAGTCAATGGAATGTGAAAACAGAGAATTGAGAGCTCACATCACCTCTGAACATATCTCTAGAAAAGGGATTTAGAGGGAAGTTATCATCAGAAATCTTGATGGCTTTCCAAGCCGCTTGCTGCTGCTAAAACCATGTGCACCTGATCTCCAAGGTAAAACTGTGTCCAAGACAGCAGGAGTTAGCAAGAATAATAAATATGAAAATATTTGAGCATTTAAAAACCAAAACAAAAGTATTCCACTCTAAAATATCTACTGTGATACATGAGCAAGGAAGACTTTCAGGCTGCATAAGATGTTGGTGGGAAAATTCTTTTTATAAACTGAGCTAACTGCAGTAGTATTACTCAGATTTAAATTAAAACCCCACCATAATGTTTGTACATCACTTTTCAGAATGCAAGTGTGTGTTAACATTAAAGTTCACTGATGGGAATGTGATGTGACTGGGAAATGGATGAAAGGAAGGATTTCTAAGTAGATACTTATTTACTGAGAAATGTTTTGTGTTTCCTGGTGTTGCTTGCTGTTGCTTATAAAAAAAAATTGTTGGCACTGAAGAAAAATTTATTTTATTACTTTCAAAAAAGATAGAAGCACCTAACATTTAGGTATCTGCTGTTAATGAGATAGTGCTGGCAGAGTTGTTCTAGTGGAGGTTATTTTTTTTTTTAATTAACTTAGTGTTAAGCATCTTTCAAGAACTGTTTTTCATAATACTGCGTGCCATTTTCAGAAAACCTTAGTATACTGTGTTTCTCCTGAGCATTTATATGCATGCACAGTATTTTATTCTTCTAGTTCTGTTATGTTTTATGGCTAAAGTGAACCATACCGTTCCAGTTGTACTTAAATAATTATTTTCTACCTAATGTTTCTTCTAAACTTGTGTCCTGTGTAGGGTTTGTAGCACCCAGGAGGCGTTTTGTTTGCCAGGAAATGGGTAGCTTTCCTGTGTTTCTAATAGCAGATGTGGTGTTACCAGTGTGAGGAAATTAGCTGCTGGCTTTGCCATTCACAGCAGAGATTGCAGTGGAGCTCACATAGAGCTGCTTAATTCTGCATTGCTAAATATACTTTCTGAATAAATGTTATTTCATTACAGCTTTTGACCACCTTCTGTTCTTATGTGTGTCGGTTGTTTTCTGTTGTTTGGAAGGGAGGGTTTAGATGTGGTGATGTGTCAATACACTTTTTGCCCGTCCGCATTTAATTTTTAATTTGTGACCCCTTTGTGGCTTGCTTGCTTGTATTTTTGATGAGCTGAGATAAGGGCATTTTCCTCTCTCGTTGATTGTTCATGCATTACTGATGGCATGAATAGCCATGCAGCTGCTGGGGAGGATGGATGGAGCCGTGTTCTGGGGCTATGGTGCAATTCCAGAAGGACATCCAGGAAATATAAGGAAATGAACAGAAAGACTTTAAATGTTGAGTATATGTGCTATTTATTTATAAAACACATGAAGACTGGTAGAGCGGTAACTTGTAAGAAATAAAAGGTCAGCAGTAAATGGGCTGTCTTGTGAGAAGTGAGTCATTGTTCAGTATATCTGAATATACTGCAATACTGCACTTTTTTAAGAAAAAAGGCTTTGCTACTTTTTAAAATCTAAAACAAAGCAGTTATAGTGTTGAACTGGTTAAGAGCAGCTTTCCATAAGGTAATCTAGTAATATAGTTTTATAATAGTCTGTTTGGTTAAAAACTGAGGGTTTAATTCATCCATTTGCAGTAGTATTTTGGCTTTGGAAGTGGTATTCTCAGACAGTTCTTGAAGAATATACTGACACCAACCTCCCAAGCACAATAACCGCATGGCATTCTTTAAAACAATATCCTACCAAGTTCTACCATGTTGTCTCCAAGTTGTCTATTTTTTAAAAAAAAATGAAAATATGTAAAAACTTCAGTTTCATAAATCTAAATGTACATCGTACTTACCTATGCGAATCTTCTCACAGCAAAATTGTTTACACAAATAAAAACTTTTTGTGTATCAACTAGGGTGATATTAACCATTGCTCTTAATGGCCATGAGGCTCAATTTTGGGATAGTTGCTATTTGTTTAGATCAGCATCTTTGTCTTGATGCAGGGTCAAGGCTTCTTGTAGCAAATAGCAGCTTTGTTTCAGCCTTACGGGCATGGACAAGGTTTTTGAGTTAAGTAGCAATGCTGCATGGTGAAGATTCCATACTCACAATCATAAATATGAAATTCTCTATTTAAGATGTGAATATAGACATAAGAAATTAGACTTTTCCTAACTGTATTTAACTTTTTTTAATTACCAATGATAAATCTGTGTAACAGTGTTTGATTATGTGTTTTGAGGAGACCTGCTTCCAGGTAGCAACTTACATATCTAATGCTTTGGCTTAGTGTAGCAGAGGTAGCTCACATTCATTTTGGTTTCAGAGGCATTTACTCTAAAAACTCATTTTACCGCTCCTGTGAGTCACAAAGCTAGTCGCCCTGTGTTTCTGAGTATCCTAAGGGTGACTGTACCAGGGATACACAAAAGCAGAGTGGAAAAACTCAAACTTCTCTTACAGAAGTGTGTTATCTTGGCAGCTCTCATTATTTGTTAGCACCTGCTATCCTGATATTTACTTACTGTAGTTTATCCAGTAGCTTTGCAGATGGTGGAGTTGTCCATGTAATAGAAGCAGCTGTTTGGGAACACAACAGCTTGTCAAATGTATTAATTGCACACACAGGCAGCTGTAAAGGAACTTACTTTTACAGGTATTTATTAGAGCTTGCAAACTATAGCTGATATAAACACTGGGAGTATAAGTTGATCAGTTTGCAAGCAAGAGCTAAACAGTTTTGTCTTTGTTTTTGCTAACTGACTTTGTTTTATGTGTTGGTAGAAACCATACAGGTAGATTACCTGGACTTTGGGGAGGTTCTGCAGACAAGCTGAGCCAGTAGCTAGGTCTGCTTGATATATTTTTTTCTCCTTCCCTTCAGTTTTGTTAAGAGAAGTTGAGTTCTTCATTGTAATGAAGTATTATTTCCCACAGGGATCTTTATATGCCCTCTAATGTAATCCTGAAGGTATAATCTTAGGGAAAAAAAAGGTTATTTCTGTGTGTGTAGATAATGCAGCTTCAGTATTGTTGGTAAATTGGGAAACTCTTAGAAATCAGCAGATTATTTCTTAATACAGACCAATTCTGCCTAGTAAGTATTGTTAATTTCTGTGTCTAGTAATTATGCTTATCTCGGTAGTTCCTTTTTTGTATTGTGCATGTTATTTCTGAGCAGCTAATAAATCTAATATTACAGTAACAGTTGCAAGGGTTACTGTACTGCATGTGTGTGGCTGATACTAAAAGCAATCAGTGCCTGGCCTGCAGAGTAATGCTTCGTTACTTCTTGGCACCGGAGACTGATTCATTGCATCGTATTAAAATTCACGGGAAACTGCCACAGGAGAGATCACTTCAGCTGTAAGTTTAGGTGAAAAGAATTGTTGCAAGCTACTCATTAAATTACAGTGAAATACTAACCAGTTTATACTTTTGATTTGTCTTTAATTGAAAAGAATGGCCTCGCATTTATGACAGAACAGGGTAAGGACTTGCTTTAGTTGTAGTCCAACACACTTTTAACGAGTGCCTATACACTGGCCTTTGAAATTCCAGGCTGCTGCTTATTTTCTGCAGCAGATGAGAACACGCTCTTATTTGTGAGAGCATCATTCACTCAGCAAGCAGGCATTTCTTAATGTTTGTCCCCAGTCTTGCGTGGAGAAGAATCTTTGTGGGGAAAAATGTATTGATTATGTGGTTAGGTCTGTATTGTAATACATATCCCGTAGATGATCCATTTATTAAACCTTGTGAGAGCATTGTTGGCTGCTTCAGCTATAGCAAAGCTGCTGATCGGGACGGGTACACGCTTGTGGAATGCTGGAGTCTCGGACTCATACTTGGAGTGTGGAATAAACTTTTTGTTTTCCGTTTGCTGCTCTAGTGAGCTTGTTGCCTGCCCGTGTACGTCTTCATCCTCTCTGCCCTTGGCACAGCATCTGCATGCAGTAGCCTGTGCAGGCCCGAGGCGGTGCCTGTTAAGGTTGACTCCAGTGGAACAGAAAATACTCAGCAATTATTTGTGGAGCCAGGCAAGTGCTTTTACACTGCCAGTTGTGCCTCTCCTACGGGGGTCCTTTCAAGTAGCTCATACACAAGATTTGAGCACTAATTACTGATAGAGATTTTTGCAAGCTTTGAAAAATGCTTGCAAAGTGTCTAAGGCACCAAACTAATGGTTGATGTAGAATCACTCTTCCAAACCTAGGAAATACTGACATTGATAGCAACACACGGCAACGGCCTCCTTCGAGCTGGTGAAAGCAGCCGTAGTGGTAGTGGAACTTATGGGGCAAGTGACAGCACTGCTTTTCCTACAAACCTCCTTTCCTTTTCTTTTTCCTACTCCCTCCCAGCAAAGAGTGTGTTTTCAGGCATTAAAAGGATTTAGAAAACAGCAATATAAATGAGAGAAATTCAGAACAATTAATATCTTGAATAGGTGATACTATTTTAAAACAATTTTTTCTCGAGTTGCACTTCATTGAAGAACAGTGCCGGGTGCCCCTCTGCTTTCAGAGTTACGTTCA